CACAATCAGCCGCGCGTAGCGAGCACGCGCCGATCGAAATTTGACATTTACGCAGCCGCTCGCTTCGGTCGGCTTCCACGAGCGGCGTCGTCGTCGGGATCGCCCGACTCGCGCGCGCGGGCGATCAGTCGCGAGCGCGAGTTCAGTCTGTTTAAACGTGTTGTTTAGCGTTCGTCCGTCGTCGCCGGCCTGCGTCGTTTCGGCCGTTTCGTCGTTTCGTTCGATACGTCAAACGCGCACGTCACGCCACGCCGCGGTCCGTCGCGGGTCGAGGTGCCGCGTCCCGTCGTCGTTCGTGATAAAGTGTCCGCGGATTTGTGTGTGTGTACAACCACCTGATAAAGTGTCGCCGGACTAACGGAGTGTCTCTCTCACGAGGGAGGAACCAAGCACAGCCGAAGCGCACACACAGCCTAGGAGTTACTCCCCACCACATCAACCCTCGAGCTTCTCCCAGACACGGTCGATTTTTCCTGCTTGTGGTGAGTACTGCACAAATGTTTGTTTTTTTACGCTTTCGTCGTGGTATCGTGAACGGAGCAAGCCTCGCGGAACTGTCATGTATTCTACGTGAGCGACTGGTCTTATCGAGCCGACATCCGTGCACGATGGCGCGACGAAATTGATTTCGAACGCGCGCACTGCAGGCGATCCTTGATGTACTCCTTCAAGTGCTCGGCAATAACGTAGAATTGCATTCGGAGATAATGCTCGGTTGACAGAAGCTCGCGACGTTGATGTGAAGCGCCGCAATCCAATCTTTATTCTGCGGTTTCGAGAATGCAAACTTTCAACACATCAAGGATTATCCGCAGTCGCTCGCGATCATTGCTCCTAATGTCTGCCTATTTTTCCGCGCGTTTATGTATATTTACATACGTTACGTGTATAATGTTCATCGGGATATCGTAAAGCGATACGAGTAGAAAGATACACGGGTCCAGTTGAGCGCGACTCACTGCACTGAAAAGCGTAACAGAGAGTAATCATTAAATTTCTCTGAAAGCATAACACAGTAACAGGATAAATCCGGCGCAAATCTTTTTAAGTCTTGTATATTTCAAATCTAACCATTGCTTTTATCATGCCATTTATCCGAGGCTTAGCACCGTAATTCAGACCCGGGATTAAGCTCGGAATGTTGTTAGGATCGGAGTCCCCTAATCTGCTATTTATTTCGAAGAAATCGTGATTTATCACCGCGAAAATTGCGGCGCTACAATCCGTTCATTCCGCAGGGAAATTCTTCGCCGTCGCTTACGTTGAAAGACGCGAATTTCTTCGTGAAGCGTGGCCGCGTTTTCTAGAAAGGCAACACACACGTGCGATGTTTTCCCTGGACGCGCGTTCGACAACAGGTTTTCGCGCACGTAAGCGTTCGCATCGCTTACGTAACGCGCGTCGAAGGTTGTCCGATCGCACAAAGTAGCTCTCGGGGGCGTCTTTACATTCCAACCCCTGTCAATAATAGCTCATTTACTTTACATCAATCCTGAAATTTTTTCAAATATCTTTTCATCTAATTATTTAAAAACTAACCAAAATCTTGAAAGACTATTTGAAAGACTTGTAATCTTTTCGTTAGAATGTAATCTACATGTTTTTTTAAATCATTTTTTGTGTAAATTAATTTCAAAAATTTAAAATTCGTATAATAATATGATATTTTTGAATTTCATACTTTTCAAAATTAGATTTTTTCAGTGCGTTGTTTGAAGTGTTAATTAATTGCGAAGTTGGATGCATCAGTGCGCACTGTTGCAGATCAAAGGTCATTGTGCGAATTTATCAAAGTTTGCAATGGCTTTTAGTGTGCGACGGTGTGTATTAATGTATTTAATTAAATTTGCGATATGCTTTTATTATTATTGTGGCTTCCGAGGATTCATGGAAATTTAGTTTTCCACAGGTATCAAGATAATTAGCCAGGTTTTACTTCAAATAGGATGTAATTTTTTTTGCGCAGCTCTCGAAAAATAAACTATTTTATCGAATACCCGTGTGAAAAAATGATAAAATTCTGACCAATATTAT